TATGACTAGCCTCGCCACTCATCAGTGCTCTACCATCTGAGCTACCTCTGTTGTTCATTTGTTTCATTGCAGTTTTCGCATAATTTTTATGGAGGGCGTAGCCACATTCCTATCGAGGTCGAACTCAAAGCAGGATTATCAGTCCACTTTCATTTCTGTTTCTGTTTCGATATAGAACCATGCTATGACTAGCCTCGCTACTCGTCAGCAACTCATCCATCAAACATAGGTCAGACTCCGATGCATGTAATCCAGAGATGCCTGACGCATATGTATGGGAAAATATATGATTTGTGAAATATATTTAGGAGTTATCTAGAATTACGGGAATTGAAAGCGAATACGTATATTAACGCCAAAAAAATTGAGAAAAACATGGGCCTGCCCCCAACAATTTCTCTTCTGAAGATGATCGCGAGCCTCTGAAACGTCAAAGCAAAGCTTGACCAATTTTCATTTTTTCCTTTGCCGATACTGGATCGATTTTCAACAACTTTAAAGCTTTTTCGTCCTTAACATAGTAGTAAATTTATGTCGAAGTTTCGACAAAATGAGTAATCAGGTTTTTCGTGTTGCATGTGTCATACATCCAAAAAACATACCTCCTTCTTGAAATGTTTTGCGTTTACAATACTTCCTCGCCAGAGGGGTGGGAAGTAAGAACACTGTTATTAATGTAGTCCAGCCCACCTCAAATGACTTTACGTTTCAAACAATGCAGCTTCACTTCCTTACTACGTTGTTTGTTATAAGTTGTGTTTGTTGTTAGGATGAATTCCTTGTAGAAACCAAGCAAAGGTTGCGCTCATGTACATTGCAATATTTGTTTCGGTGGTTAATCAAGCCTTCCATACTCATTGAAAATGGAAGAGTCCATCAAACTAAAAATTATCATGTGTTGTTCAAAAACTTTCTACCTGGACATACTATATCTGTTATAAATTTCTAACTATTATCGCCTACATTCCGCCACAAATTTCAAGGCCGTTGATTCGGAAAACATGTAAAAATCCTTTCTGCAGTTTCTTCCCTGAACTCAATTAAATTTATACTGGCGCATTAAATTGTTGAATTTGTTCCATGGAAAATTATTCTTATTCTCATTGGCAAGATATTTCTTGAAAAAAAATGCTATCCAGTATTTTAATCTGCACATGTTCACATTTACACAACATTGCCACCCTGAGCATGAATCTTGGGACCATCACTGCGCCGCTTCTAGACGCATTAATTCACGTTACGCCACTGTGAACAATTATTTCTATGCACGGCTGCCTACCATCATATGTTAAAATGTTGCTATACCTGCCCTGCTGATACGAGTAGTACCATGCATCTGGCATACATGCGGCACAGCGGCAGCAATGCCAGGACACTCACCAAAACTGGCACGCCCAGTGGTGAACCAAGAGAGTGGAAACGGGACGCGTTTCTAAAGCATTTCTCTATCATTCAAGTTTCAACGGGAAATCCATTATTTGTGGAACATACCTAATAGCTGCGTAGAATTACCGGGGTTGGAAATGTATTAGTATAGTAACATCAAAAAGTTACAATGTACCCTCCCACACTGCCTGCATCCCCACAACACACCAATTTATCCTCGCTTAAAATTTTCTCAAAAATAATCAGCATCCTTTGAAATGTCAAAACACGAAATTTGGGAGAGCATTATTATTTCTGTCTTTGGCATACGTCTCTGCTGTCACTAGACACTGGACCACAACTACAAATATTTTTCGTCCTTGGCGTAATAAGTTACCTTGAGTGAAAATTGGTTCGAAATGTAAATCGGATATTAAAAAAATTAGGCATATCCTCCCATAATAATCAAAAGATTTCGAAACGTCAAAAAACCCAGTTTGAGCCATATTTTTGTCATTTTCGTCTTTTGCCAGTCACTCCTCCGTCACTGGTTATTTAAAAAACTACAAAGCTTTTTTTCCTTGGTATAGTAGTAACCTTGTACGAAAAGTTTATCAAAATGCGACCGATAGCTTCCATGATTTAGACGGGCCAATGACTCGCGGACAGATCGACCGACAGACGCACCGACAGACCGATGAAAGTAAGTGTCATGTTTTTTCGTGATGTAAATGTCATATAATATCGAAAAACAATATATCTCAATTTCGAAATTTTTTGCTATTAGGCCAGTTGGCTTGGCAAGTAAAACATTGGAGGCGCCGGGTATCGATCCCGGTACCTCTCGCATGCTAAGCGAGCGCTCTACCATCTGAGCTACGCCCCCTGTTTAGTTTTTTCAATGAAATTTTTGCATAATTTGAATGAATCAGATAGCGGTAGACTTATCGAGGTCGACATGTAAAACGTGATTATCAGTTCACTTTCAAGTATTGGAACGTGCTGTTAATTTCGTATATCCGAGAATAACTCTCTAAGATGAAATTGATACATTTAACAATATTCTGACTAGACAAAAGAGTTTAGAATAGAAGTGGGGACAAATTTTACCTATGACTATTTTTTCAACTTGTCTAGTATTTACGAAAGAATCCCACCTAATATTCACACCAAAACATTAAGGTGTGAATTTCTCGATTTACATGGATTTTTGAAAGATTTTTAACTAATATAAAAAAAGAAGAATGTAACTTAAGGATATTTATTTGTGTTTGAATTGATCAAACATCTAGAAAAAGTTATTAAATAGTTGAATTTCGATATAAGTTGGACAAGGGCGTGGCAGTTGCCCCCCCTCCCCTAGAGACCTTGAAAAATGTAATGAAATTCAAATCAATAAAATTTATAAGTACACTTACTTAACATGCTTGGTCGACCATTCCCGCACGTGGAAACTCGAAAGAATTCACCATTTCCATTCCTAGTATTCAAACTCTAAGATATAAGAAATATAATAACATAATTTAATTTAAATTTCATTTACCATACAGCCAAGAACTCGTGGAGATTCACACATTGGACTTTGTACTGTTCTTATCACAATCACCATACTACACGTGTAAAATTTGATGTGCTATTGACTTTACCTACAATTTATACAATTCTCATTCATCGCGACTTTGAAGTGGGTGAATTTTATAGCTAAACTCCTCAAGTATGATAACAATATGTTGCGTGCAGTGCCGATAGGAGGATCAAGAGACTTCATTTTTTGTATATATTTGAGCTTATCACGTATAGAAATGATTGCATAATCGGTTATTAAACAATTAGAAGTAGTATGCAATCGACACACACTACACCCTGCCATCAACAATACGAATATGCATTGTAACTTTTTCTTGTGTTGATTATTCAAACAGTGAAGTCAGCATCTCCTTCGCACTTTCTTTGCCACTGGTCTGATTGGCTAGAAAAATTACAAATAAAGTACAATAATTACATTTTAATGTTTGAAGTGTTTCGTCAACTAATCTTTCATATGTAACACGCCCTATACTACTACTTTGTCCTTTTTTTGATTCTCATGTGTCCTCTTCGTGCTCTGTAAGATTCTATACAAATATTTATAACAGTGTTAGCCTGAATGTAAAGCAAAATATGAAGCGACCTCAATGATTATACTATTTATTATAATACTATATTTTATTATACACGAACATTGAATAGTGAAAATCGTTGAACGAGTAGTACAATCGAGATTTATTCGAATACAGGTATATTGTATAACAATAACAGAAGCCAGATTTTGAAACAGATATCGAAGAGTTTACACTTCTTTTCTTGTCAGATAATATTAAGTTATTCATTATCCTTCTATAGTTTATATCAGATAGATCAATTAATGCAAGACTACGAGTTCAAAATATCTCACTCCTAGCTAGCTTTCTGTTCTGCTGAATAAAGTAGAAAGTTAAAGAAGTTTTGATACGGTAAAACTGCTACTCAAAACCTGACTTGATATATGAAGAACACATACATACATCCATTGGCTCTATTGCTTATTGGTATGTCAATTATGTAATGAGACTGGCAACGAAACTTTCGATCTGGCAACACTAGAGGCGCCGAGCTTGGAGGGGAGACAGGGGAACACGTGATTCTCCCTCAATACAAGTTTGAACTAGCTCAAATCATTTGGTTATCCGTAGCATTTTTTTGTGATACAGTTTTTTCTATTGTGTTCTAAAAATGTGACATCAATTTCAAGTAATGGTATGCTATTATCTTTTGCTTCAGGCAGCAGCGGTGGCCGCCTTCGGCTCCTGATCAGTCCCCGTGCGCTGTGCGGGTTCGAATCCCGGAAAATTTTTCTCTTGGCTATGGATGTTGTGATCATCCTTAGGTGGTAGACGGTCTCTGACTGTCGAACGCAGAGGTACCACCCGGCGGAGGCGGGGCCAGAATGTGTGCATGTTGCATGCACACGTGTTCCATCGCCAGAGTCCGTGTGGCGTTCCCCCTTTCCCCTGTATCCCCCTATAGCCCCACGGTGGTTGGAGTATACAAAAAAAGACTTGGGCACAGTGCAACGGAAACTCTTGCAGGAAACTCAGCAGGTCTACGGGGATAGTGTTTTGTCAAGAGTCTAGGTTTTCCGGTGGTTCTAGGCATCTTCAGAAGGTAGAGAGTCGATTGAAGATGAACCACAGAGCGCAAGGCCTTCATCTTCAAGAACCGATAAAAATATCGACAGAATCGTTAAATTTGACATCAAGAACAAATAATGTGTGTTGCATCACGATAAGCTCCTTGTCACACAGCAAAGCTTTAAATCACCGCTAGGAAACTCCTTTTGGAACAGTCGAAGACATTCAAACGGCTGTAACCTATCAGCTGAAGACTATTCCAGTAGGGGTGTTCTAGCGTTGCTATAAAGAGTTGAAGAGCCGTATCCAGCTGTGTGGCTTCAGAAGGAAGTCATTTTGAGGGTGGCAATATAAAATTGCAATTATATTGGAATAAAAATACTAAAAACAAAACCAGTCTATCACTTAATTCACAGACCTCGTAAAAGAAAAGAAGTATTGTAGAAAGACTAGATAAGAGTATATACATTCAGTTCTTTAGATAAATTAGGTGATTCTATGGATATTCCTCAAATGCGATTGTAGAATATCATCTCTTTTGCACTTTCTCGGACACAGTGGACATTGCAAGATCATCTGCTTTCCACATTCAAACTGCAAGTGAGCTACAAGATTAAGTGTAGGACCGTATCTTTTACCGCATCTTGGACACATTAACTTCCCGTCATCGGATGGCAATCTTGGACCTGGAATAATTTTACATTAGTTTAGATAGAAAAATATATGCTACTAAACCTCATTTAATAAAAGTGTTAAAATGTCTAATGATTTTAATCAAGTGAAATTTCCTGAAAATATATGAATGTATCTTATTAAAAATTGGAAAGCTCCATCACAATTACTGGATACATGGTTCTTTTTAGATATGTATATATTAAAACAACAATATACGTATTACAAAAGTCAAAGTAACAAAGTGGTGGCATTGCCACGTGACAGGCAACGCGTAATCGTCCTTGGCCAATTTATCTCATTCCTACCGCGCTGAAACTGTCAGATAATAGTTATCGTTCGTGCTAGAAGTTGTACACGAGTTGGTATTTTTGAAATATTTCGTGATTAACTACCTACGTTTCACATTTTTGCACATACGTTGAAGCTTGATTTTGGATGTAAGAGTGATTGCGCTAGTACTTCTCTCATCAATAACGCATTTGACAATCAGTTTACAGGTAGGTACATACCGGAAAATTTGTAGGACTGCACATTATGAATAAAAAGTATACTAGAAACATTTCTAAGGCCAAGACAGCGTGCTTGGTTGATATAATACAGGTTTTAAAATGAATATCCTTTCCTATTAACAGGTTACGATTTAGAGGTACCATCCGGCGGATCTCGTAGGCGGGGCCAGAATGTGTGCATGTTGCATGCACACGTGTCGTGTTCCCTCGCCAGAGTCCGTGTGGCGTTCCCTAAAAAATGCTTGTTGCTTCGCATATGCATACAGTTAGGTGCTGCCTATATTAATAAAGCGCCAAAGCAGTTTGTACCAGCAAGTTTCAGGAGAACATGAACCACTATGGTTTTCTGAAAATATCTGGTATGTTATCCCGTTCCGCACGGGTATTACGTATCTTGAAAAGTGACGTTATATCGGTTTTTTGACATTATACTAGTTTTTTGATTATGTAGGGTTTTCTACAAGATATTAAACTCAGCACTTAGTTGTACGTATTGCCTAAACGTCACAAGCCCTCAGTTATCAATGTTTGGCTCTGATGTGATGTAAAATCTGGTTCAGATATGGCATTACTGTAAGTTCTACGTGTTGATGATAATTTCATTGGATTCTTGTCTCAAATACACTTAATTGAGATTCAAAGCTAAATTTGCATAATTTAAAAAATGAGACAGATAAGAAATAATTATATTCACTGTACACTGTCGAATTACAAGCCATATACATGCTAACAGTAATTACAAGTACACACAATGCGGGTGCGGTGGTGATTTCCCATAGTTCTCATCAAAGTTCTTCGTAATTTATAACTTTGAACATAATCTCTCTTCAGAAAGCACTACATATAAATAACCCATCGGGCACAGCTAATCGATATTGGCAGAATATGCAGTAATGATTTTCTCACACAGCAAATATCACTGATTTTATACAAACGCAGACCAATACGCATAATCATTCAGAAACCATCTTGCTATTCAACCAACTTTCTTCTCAGAGATAAGAACTACATACACAGACCACTCGGCCACGCAAAACATATGCAACCAACAATGCGTGTAGTTTAGTTGAGTGATTCCTCCATAGACGGACGTTCACAACGATCCTAGTGAGCAAACGTGGAATGACTGTTGCACTCTTAAAACTACCTATTCCTCAAGATAACATCCTATAGATTTTTTTGTGCGGCACAGGTGATATGTAAAAAAAGTAGAAAACGTCAAAAAAATATTGCAGACTAGGTAGCATTTAGGGTGCAAACAGTCATTCCACGTTCGCTCACTAGGGTCGTTGTGAGCGTCCATCTATGGAGGAATAGCTCAACTACACGCATTGTTGGTTCTATATGTTTTGTGAAGCCGAGTAATCTATAGTTTTCATGTCTGAGAAGAAAATTGGTTGAAAAGCAAGATCGCATCTGAATGATTGTGTATATTGGACTTTTCAAGATACGTAATACCCGTGCCCGGCTATGAAAGTTTTCGCGTATAAAAATGTACTCTTTCGACCAATAAGCGACGAAAGCATCGTAAACACAAAATATTTCTAGATATTATTGGGGCTTCCTTGATGTATCATGGATTGCTTCGGTGTATCTAGGAACATTTCGTAATATCTCGATGTCTCCAAATACACCAGCAAGTTCTTCAAACTAATCAAAAGTACTAATATAAAATTCCGCTACACTACTGTTGCCATCGAAACGTCCAGAATATATCATTCAAGTAAAGACATACATTAGAAATTTCAAAATGGTCTTCGAGTTCTCAGCTCACTGTAACAACGTGTTACGCGTGATAAGCACCATTTGCATAATTTTCGTGGACGAGTCTTATCACAGAACGCTTAACTTTCAATGCTTACTGGATCATAACTCGAAGATAAAGTCTCAGACTCCACCTGAACGCTACGGAAGAAGTCTTACAGAGGCGGTCTTAGAAAAACGATAGATGGACTTTCATTGTTATTTCATATCGAAATCACCAGATCATGGTGTTTCTAAAAAGACAAATATTACATTTATATATTGGATTAAGTTAAGAGATCGAAAAAGTAGTACATTCTAAAGAACGTGGCCACTGGAAGTGCTCGAGTTATGTTCACAAAAGTTAGAGATATAAAGATTATTGTTTAATTTCTGCTTAAATATAAAAGGTATTAAAATATCACTTTATAAACATAATCGCAAAAACGGATATCAATACAAGTCTAACCTAAACAGAAAATTGAGTACAAAATAAACTGCATGTTTTTGTCAAAATTACAAAAACGTAAGGCACTGATAAGGTAAAATAAGTTTTCAGTCTCAGTGAATATCTATACAGGGTTATCCAAATTAAGTGTCCACCATTAGTAACTTTGTTATTAGTGAAAATACAAAGTTGTTTGAATTAGCAAACTAGTAGCATTTTTAACGCTGGTAAAAATGAGAAATAAAAAAAAACAATTGAGAGTCGTTATTTTGATTTTTTTCAGTAAAATAACATTTTTTTAAATGGAAACCCCTGTATATTATATTTTTTTCTGTTAAAGCATCAAATTTTAAACAAAAAAGCTTACAATAACTTTTCTCCTAGGTTACAAATTGTTGAAGTTATGGCCTCCAATCTGAAACAATTAAATTGTATCGACAAACTTTATTTTCAACATCAACTTATAATCTTACAAAATACAATAACAATTTTTTTTAAAGAAGATGCTCGAAAACACCACCTTGTTCTTCAATACATTTTTGGGCACGTTTTTCAACTGCTCGAACTGTCTTAAGTATGGTCCTACCATCTATCTGGGTTATCTTTTCCCTAACTGCAGTCTTTAACGCGTCAAGGTTATCGTACCTTCGCTTGTAAATTGTTTTCCAAAGCCTTCTAGTTGCGAGTATGTCCAGTTTAACAATTTGTCGCTTATCTTAATGCTGTCAAATCGCGAACGCCATGTTGTTTTCATAGCCGTCTTAATATTATAATACTGCAAATAATTAAAAATATTTATCGTTATTTTGACTTTATTTTTGACTTTAGCGGAAAAGTCATTATGAACTTTTTTGTTTAAAATTTGATGCTTTAACAGAAAAAAATATAATATACAGGGGTTTCCATTTAAAAAAATGTTATTTTACTGAAAAAAATCAAAATAACGACTCTCAATTGTTTTTTTTATTTCTCATTTTTACCAGCGTTAAAAATGCTACTAGTTTTCTAATTCAAACAACTTTGTATTTTCACTAATAACAAAGTTACTAATGGTGGACACTTAATTTGGTATAACGCATTAGAAATCAAGCAGTAAATATAAACTTGAACATTCTGTAGCTTAAAATAAATCATAATAATCGTAGAAGCATACAACCTTAATAGTATCAGCAAGTGTGAAAACAAGATATTGTTAAATACCTATCCTCACAAGAAAGCAAGCATTAAAGAAAAAGTTTGACGCTCTATAGCCTAAAACAAATTACAACTATCTGGGAAGCGTAAAACATTAAAAGTGATACCATCAATTGCCAAAACAAGATATTCACTCAAGTTGTAAAGCAAATATCAGCCGATCAGTATATACTGTGGTGTAACAGCATTTACTGATGATTCCGTTAGTGTCAACGGATTTTTTCGTAAACTTATGCGTCAATAAATACTTACATCCATCAATACGCTAAGCTACACGTTCATAAACCGTGGTAAATACTCAGGGATCACAGTAAATATTGAACATGTGACATTGATCCAAGTGCCTTTCTTGAACATCACCTTGCTGTTTGTACGTTAAAAAATAAATCAGCAACTTTTTCATAAAAACTATAATGTTGATTCAAATAGAGTCGTGTCTGAAGGAAACCATAAGATATACAAATTGTTCTCAAATCGTGGGACAAAAATTCTAGGCGTTATTTAAGTACGAAATTTTGTCAACATAGAAATAACTAGGTGGGGCCCCACATGATCGTGTCCACAGAAAACAAGTGGTTTATTTACATTGCCGGAGATTTACTAACCCTAATGCAATATTACTATTATTTTTCTACACGCTGTGTAATAATGGTTCAAAACTTATATTTTTGAAGAGCCTGATAATGTATCTCAAAAATGTGTAAAATCTTGTTTATTTTCAATAAAATGAACCATTTTTCTTGTTTGGATACTGCTCGATTTGCAGTGCAACCAATTCCCAAAAAGTTGGACAAACATCTGAAACTTCGTATAAGTACCAGAATATTCATACATGATGTGGACGCTGATAATGAATGTGCTATCAAAAGTATAATATTGTCAAAATGGCGCCACCAGTATATCGGAAACGGTAATCAATACAACAGCACTGAAACAATGATGTTTTTCACAAAAACAGCTCTTTTTATCGAAAACAAACGCAAGGATTCATTTTTTCATATAAGAGATAGGTTTACTAAAAAATATCAAGATTCAGCCGTTATTATACAGGGTGTAACAAATCTTAATGAGATGATTGTTTTATGTTTGGACGCCATCATGTGAGGTTTCAGCTAGTTATTATGTTCTCAAGGTTTCGTTGAATTATACAGCGTTGCTTGGAAATTATTTAAGAAAAACCGATTTTCAAAGAATCACCCTTTGACTTTTTAACCATGATTTGAAACTTTCCTGTATGCTGTCTTATTCCGAACCATTTGCTCTAAAAGTACTCCATTTCTGATGTTTGTTAGAAGACACGACTGATAAAATTCCTTTGAGGAAGACGACAAAATCCCTTGAACTAATTAGTAATTCTTTCACTATTTTGACAACAGAGCTCATCGATTGCAATAGATGTTATCTGATAAAACTATCTAGTTCCATTCAAATTTCTCGAATAACATAACCTATAGTGACACTTCATTGTACTTCTATGCCTAAACTTCTTCGAACAAAGGGAGCAACTAAACTGAGGATCAACTCCACACTCGTACTTCCTGTGACGTGACAAGTGGCCTTTCTGTTTGTAGGACTTGTAGCAAGTGAGGCACTGATACCTTCCATCTGGATCCTTCATGTATCTGAAATCTGTTTCCCTTGTCAATAAATTTTCAAGAAGTTATTCCACTTTTATTGACGAAAGGGGCTAATAAGATTTTATTTGATACTGAAGAAGATACATATTGTAGTGCTTTACAAAGTTGAGCGGTTTTATACATTGAATGACTTATAACTCCAGAACTGAGCATTAATATACTTCTTATGGAAAGGTCTGAGGGTCCACTCAAATAGAACGCATTGCATTTAAAAAAAATTCAGTTGTTGACGTTTTTGTCAACTTTTTTCAAATCGGTTGTTTCATAGTTTAAAAATGTTCGGATTGATTCTTCCAGGAGAAACAGATTGATATAACACATTACAATTGTTGATTCAATGCAGATAAATGTTCCAATTTGACAAACTGTCACTTCGTCATCCCGCAGGATAGTCATTTTTTATTCTACGCTTATAAATTTCTCATAAGGAGGTTCAAAATAAAGTATCACGTGACCCCCCATGGCAGCCCAGCCGCTATCTTGAAACTGCCATTATCATGCCAGAATAGCATATTAATGCATCAATTTCATTACTCCAAATTTTCGTTTGCAATTCTACGCGTTCAAAAACAAAGCCTTTTGAAAAACATTGTCTAATCAAACCTTAACAAACAAAAAATGCCAACAAGTAGGTTGACTCTGCAGTTCCCACGCAACGCTGTTATCAGGTCACCAAATCTTCTGTTCGGCCTTTTGAGCTTAGCTACAAGCATACAAACACAAAAAAATAATGGGGTCAAGTCAGCCAAATAGACCAACATACAATTAGTAAATACTCCATAGTCTTCCTCCATTTGATAACGTTTACGCTAGTTTCTTCCCTGCCCTAAGTATCATCCATCTGGTAACGCTGCTGGACCACACCAATCAAACACATCATAAGCTCCAGCCATACTATAACACCTCTGCTGGCGGTGCTGTCACACTTAAAGCAGAGATCAGCGCATGAAAGTACTGGGGTTGGAACTGTATAAACGTACTGCCGCCAACAAAATGAGATATACCTTCCCCAACCCCTACAACCCTCGATTTTTAACCCTTAGAATTTTTTTCAAAAAATCTTCAGGAGCCTCTGAAACGTCAAAAAATGAGCAATTTTTATCTTTCAGTGTTTTTGTTCCTAGCTCCCCTGCGACTGGATCGATTTTCAAAAACTACAAAGCTTTTTCGACCCTGACATGTAGTAACCTTGTGTGAAAATTTCATCCAAATCCGAGCAGGACTTTCCAAGTTATAGGCGGTCCAAAGATGTACTGTGTATGTCATATAACATTAAAAAAACATCATCTCATTTTCGAAATTTTTAGAGATTACAATACTTCCTCGCCATCAGGGTGGGAAGTAACTCAGTAGCGATGCCTAAGAATGAGCCTAGCTATACTGGATAGTCTCAGCTTACCGAAAATTACGCACTGAGATTCTTTCAAACCAACAAAAAAAAATGTCCAAAATGATGTAACTCCTTTAACTGATCGTTAGTATAAACAGGTAAAAACGAGTTTATAACATAAACTTGCGAATACATTTTGGTTTTTGTTTCGAAATTCACTGATTATTGTACAGAAATAGACCTAAAATGCATTGGAACAGTTATGCTAACTGCAGTTCGATGTGGTAATCCACTTCTTGAACCTAACAGTAATTTAGTGATACAGTGAAATCATTTGGCCTATATACCAGGAGAAAGTACGGCAGTGCTGCACGTGCTGTAAACACAACCCCAAAACTTGACTTTTTGTGCTCTTTTTTTGAAATTCTGTCGGACCCACCTGATGCTGTGTTTTGGCAGGACCGCCGTATGAGCACTTCCCTGATAGTTTAAGATCGGGTCGCTTGAATCTGCAGGTATCTGCTCACCTGTTTTTCGAGTAAGAAAGAGTAAAATACAATACCATATACAGGGTGTTCCATAATTATTGCGACAAAATCATAGGGGTTGTAGAGGGCATAAAAATATGCAATTTTGCCTTATAAACCCCTGTTCGTAAATATGCCGTTTGAGCACTACCGCTAATTTTACCTTAAGATCTCATAGGAGAAACAAAAAATTCACCAGTTGCAAAATGTTCGTCTAGCACATTTCATGGTCTCGCCGGTTTGTAAAAAAAGCCTGCTTAGTGTTAAAATGCAGAGTTATTCGTTTGCGGAACTTGCGGATATGCATTTAATTTACGGAGAAGCTGTTGGTAACGGAAGACGAGCCTCTCGAATCTACGCCCAATGGTTTCCAGAACGTCCTCATCCGCATCAGGCCATTTTTGCAAGGATTCATGGACGTCTTCGTATCAGTGGCAGCATCAGACACCTCGCGGGAGCAGGGCGGCCCTTCACGAGGCGCACAGTAGTTTTGAGGAAGCGATTCTGCATCATGTAGAGGCCAATCCGCGTACAAGCGTGCGTGCTATTGCACTTGATATGGGAGCGTCTCAAACTACTGTTTGGCGGGTTCTCCATGACCAGCAACTACATCCATACTACCTTTTAAAAGTCCAAGCCATGGGTCCAGAAGACTATCTGCCGCGTCGACGTTTTTGTCGTTGGTGGCTGCAGCAGGAGTTGAGGCAACCAAACTTTGGCGCTACGTTTTGTTCACTGACGAGTCCTGTTTTACAAAGGACGGTTATTTTAATAGCCGTAACAGTCACATTTGGGATGAAGAAAACCCTCATGCCATAGCCATCCATAGAGACCAACATCAGTTTTCAATTAACATCTGGTGCGGCATTGTGGACGAGCACATCTTCGGGCCATATTTGCTTCCACCACGTTTGGATGGGCATGCTTATGGTCGATTCTTACAGCATGTGCTACCGGAACTATTAGAAAATGTGCCACTGAACATAAGAGCCAACATGTGGTTTCAACACGATGGCGCTCCAGCCCAATTTTCTTTACAAGTGCGGCAGTATTTGGACGACAAATTTCCAAATAGGTGGATAGGCCGAGGTGGCCCTGTGCCTTGGCCTGCGCGATCACCCGACCTGACCCCACTGGATTATTTTCTCTGGGGCCATCTGAAAGCTTTAGTGTACGAAACTCCTGTTCCCAACCAACAAGAGCTACTGGGAAGAGTGATGGCCGCGTCCGGACATGTTCAGGACATACCGGGGGTATGCCACAGAGTTCGCCAATAATTGAACAGTCGTGCACAGCTGTGTATTGAGCAAGGTGGAGGACACTTTGAGCAATTACTGTAGGTAAGCTGTTTCAAGAAACTGATATTTTTTTTTGCTGCAGCCCAAACGGCATATTTCCGAACAGGGGTTTATAAGGCAAAATTGTTCATTTTGATGCCCTCTACAACCCCTATCATTTTGTCGCAATAATTATGGAACACCCTGTATAAAAAAATGTTATTCGATGATTTGAATTGGGAAAAAATTATATCAGTCTGAGTGTAAAGATTCATATACCACATAAAAAATATTTTTTTCGAATACAATGTATTTATTTCTATAACTTTTATTTGGATATTATGTGATCTCAAATACACTTTTTATATCTCATAAGTGTTTAGTACAAAATATAAATTAACTCTGCGTAAAAATGAATAAATAAATTGTCGCTTAAGTACGTACAAGTTTAGTACCACCGAAGTTAATATTAACACCTTCCCCGTTTCATAGAAAAGATTTTCGAAGGAAGACAAGTCGGTAAATTCCAATAAATCGTTTATATGAAACGGAGGTGCACGCCACAGTGTCTGGTGTCTCAAATTTGATCACGAGGTTGTGTATCAGCTACTACACTTTTAATACTTTTATTAGGGCACAAAATCTGGATTTGTGTAACAGAATAAATTTCATGAAGCCAGTTCTGAGGTGTTCACCTTAACAGTACTGTGGAGCTATATGTACAAGTATTACATAATATCAAGGCCAAGACTATTTTCAATGTTACACAGTTGATTCGCTGGGTATCCATGAGTGTTAGCCATATGCCTTTTCAAACTGTCCTTCTGTGTAAAGCTCCTCTGACACAGCGTACAAGAAAACTGATTGGATTTTAACGTTCCGCAATTATATTTCATATGACGTAGGAGGTTGCTTCTGTATTTAAATGCGTTGTTGCAGTTGGGGCAAACTGTAGCTGAAATTAGGAATAGCATCAGTAGTTACAAGAACTGGAGCCATGGTAACATATTTTTTAAATGTACATAGGATGAAGATATGGAGCAAGTATCAACAATATTATTATAACAACTTCAATGACGCTTCTAAATTGGCAATATTTTTACTGCTTTATCTAGCTGCAAAATATGGTAATATTTTGTGTATAGATATTTTGCTACATGATTGTCATTTCCATCCTATATTTACATATATGATTATGTCAGATTGCTAAACTCTCGCAATCCTACCTTATGTTATGTGATGAAATGTATGTAAGCTGCCGCGATGCGTACAATTTCGCCAGCTCTAACTGCCTGACACTTCTGATGAGAAATTCTGAGAACTGTATGTGCCGCCTACAATAACCAACGAATTCGGACTAGGTAGAAGGTAGCAAACTTACCATTTTTTTTTTTAACCAAAGTTACGTAGTCAAGATGCAAGTTCATATTACAAATCGATCAGACCTTTCTGCAAAACATAAAAGTGTGTGGGTTCCATACAATCCTAGTGTTCCAGACAGTTGCCAAAAATGGTGAAGGTTTCTGTGGATTACAAAAAGCCATTTAAACTGAATAAGAGCAACTTTTTTCGATAAGTGTTATACATTATCGTCGTCGCCGTTGCAAAGGGGCAAGTGTCTCAACATTGGGTTTTTCCTGGAAGTAATTTTGATTTCTCTCATTTCTCCTCTTATTTCATTCAATACTCAGTCCCAATCTAAGGTTTGTTGTAATTTTACGATATCATTTTAGTGCCATGTGAATAATCTCAGTGCATAAAAAAAATGTATGAATATCAAATAAAACATATCTTTAATAAATAATTAGGTTTTTTCTTTTCCACATTATTCAATTCATCCCTGTTTA